ACTCATTATTTACATTTCACCGTGACATGGACAAAAATGTAACATCAGCTTACCTCATAGCACGAATCCAGACTCTCCTTTGGAAAACATTGGCCGGGAAACGATAGAACGAGCACGTTTCATGCGAAGACCTGTGGCTGCAACCCGGAGCAAAGCAACAAACCATTGCGTAGCTAACTAGTAGCGCTAGCTTTAGCTAACGTAAGCCAACGAAACGAACTGCCGAGTAAAATTGGAAAACACTGGTAATTAATTATTCTATAATTTGTAAAACTACGGTGTTAAAAACGACAATTTCAAAAATACAGATTCTAATGGTCAGATATAGATATACAGATACTAAAGATATGCATGTACTTGCTTTCAAGCAGAACACAGGGGAAAACAAACTTAGCGGGAGTGTTTACGTGTTCGGCGTAATGACGTACAACGGCCTCGACAATTTCTGTAGTCCTATTCAGCCATTCGGTAACAACCATCGTTTTTCAGACACGTAAACTCTTCAAAAATCCCCAGTGGGGTCACTGCTGATGTATTTAATGTCGTAGAACAAAACGTCAATTACCTCTTAAATTTGTGTCAACCACAGACCTTATTTCGAGCTATTTTCCAAAACCCTATGGAAAAAATGCATTGCTTTTTGAGGAAGGAACCGGAAGTGCCAAAAATGCTAACTTACTTCCGGGTTTTACGACGCGTCACTGCGGTTCTCTATTTTGAAGGAAATTACATTAATTATGTAACTTTTCATCTAGCACGCAAATATCAATAGTAGTATAAATAATAGGAAAATAGTTAAAACAAATACAATTATATTGAATCTCACGTCATTTTCTGTAAAACTCTTTAAAAAAATGTTTGACATTATAACTTGTTTGAAGTGCAACACTGAAATGTATGTTCAGGAACTACAGATAAAAAAAAGTCACATTTACATGAATGGTTATTTATCTACACTGTTAAATTAACTAAAAAGGATAATAATGAAATAAAAGAGAGCCAGGAGCCGACCTGGTCTCCCCATTCGTTAATGACGGGCATGTTGATGTCGTCGATGGAGACGGTCATCCTGCGTCCCCCCAGCGGCCCGTAGATGGCGCCCATGCGTTTGTCGATGTAGCTCTCGATGGTCCTCTGGAACATGGCGGGCAGCGTGGCTGAAGAAAAGTTCAGGGTCTTACTGAGGTGCTGCTCCGGGTCCAGTTTACTGGTGTAGCCCTGCAGGGGGCGCCACAGAGAGGGACAAGTAGCATCAGCATTTTCTACTTCAACTTGAGTAACATTTTAACTCATGACTTTTATGGAATAATTTAAGACTAGAACATTTCTACTTTTACTTAAGTAAAAGATCTGAGCACTTCTTCCTCCTCAACAATGCGTCACATCCTCGGTGTCTCACTTTAATCATGACGGTCTTGGCGGTGCCCTGCTCTCCGATCAGCAGCACAGCCTTCCTCTGCTTCACGATGGTCTGCAGCAGGAAGTCCGTCCTCACGTTGTCCACATTTGGGACCAGGATGGACGAGTAGTCTGGGACGTGATCTTTGGGGTAGACATACTCTGGGACCTGCATCAGGTCAATAATAAATACAGAAGGTGCATCATTTTGATTTAGAAAAACATTTATTATCAGATAAATTATAAAATTACTTATTGTTCGCATTTATGGAATTTTCTTGAAAAAGCTGCCAAAATACTTAAGCGTTAAAACTTTCAACCAACAGGTCAGTCCTGATCATAATTATACTCAGAATACTTTATTTGTTCACGGGGATAAAAAATAAAATAAAATCGTATTTAATCAAATAAAAAAAGAGGATATATAAATAGAGAAATATAAGCAATATAAAACAATATGTACAAATTGTATTTAAATTCACATTCTGAATATAATTTTGTATTATTTTAATATGGAGCAACTGTTAAAAAATCAAGCTTCCACCAGGGACATATAAATTATTCTTTAGTCTATAGGGGAACTTTGAAGTTAGAGTGTCTCAGTCCTGCTTCCATGTGCTCAGTGTCAGTCTGAAGGAGACGTGTGTAATGAATACCAGCGTCAGTGTCCACAGACCTTGTTGGACCAGTGCTCCCACTCTCCCCGCTCGCTGACGGTGAACTCAAAGATGGTCTGCTCGTCCTGAGTGAGCGGCAGGTCCAGAGACGAGCTGTGGTGCTGTGAACACAAACAGGAAGTGAGGGACATCCAAAGGAAAAGCCACATTATGCAACAAATATTTTTAACCTAACACCTACAAAGAAAGTGTTATGGCAGAATCCTTATTACAGCGTATTTCTGGCATATTCATTAAAGTCACATGGTAAGCTATATCATGTGTGTTATTGAGTTGAGTCACATAGAGTTAGAGAGGCCCATGAGTCTCTTTGCTAATTATCCATGGTCTCTGAATTATCAATAGATGTATTCATTTTCAAATGAGCTGATGCCGAGGTCGTAGCAACTGCGAGAGGCTACTCAGAGATAATACATTTAAGTCTTTGTTGGTTGATTACTCCTAAAGACGTCATGAGATAATGACTTTTCAACATATACAAGTATAGCTTTCAGAGAGAACAACATGTGACGTTTGTGTGGTTGGCTTGGCTGCATGATCAAATTTGTGTGTGTTCATTACAGAGGCTATATACTGTATGCTGTGTGATTGTTGCAACTGGTGGGGGGCATTTCAATGATTGGCTGCTGTGGCAGGTGATGTTGTACTCCAATATTATTATTGTTGTTGCGCAACTGAATAATAATTCATCTCAACCATGTCTGTGTTTTATTGATCTCTCTCTGTGTTAACATTTAAGGTTGGTGAGCCATAAATTGCACTAACAAAAGTATTTAGATTAATACTTAAATTAAAGAAGCAAAAGCACACTATTAAAAATAATGCATACCAAGAGGTGGTATGACAGAACTAAGTTCATTTACTCAATTACTGTAAATAAGTGCAACCAAGCAATCTTCATGGAAATCTTTGGAGGTATCTCAACTTAAACATGACAAACATTAACAATATCCACCTACAACACGTCAAGGTGCATCAACACACGTGCACACACCTTTAGGAAGGCCTCCATTTTGGCTCTGTCCTCCAGCTCCAGCACCGCTCCCAGAGACCACATGACTGCAAACACAAACAGTCGACCAAGGTCACCATGGCAACCCTGTTTCTCATCGACTGCAGGGAGCAAACCCTGAAAGCAAAAATATAAAAAATATTTCACAAAAAATCACTCCGACCCGAGTTATGTTCTCAGATAGTTACTTTCTGTCCTTCAACTCCACATCTCTGCGCTTAATAACGATTTGTGATTCCTTCCTGTGTTGTACCTGCAGCAGGTCGATCGTCTGCCTGATGTACATGCTCTCCAACACCTGCATCTTGGGAGACACAGCCGTGGAGACAAAGTCCAACAAGTCCTGTAGAAAGAGCAGAAAAAGTAATGTAAATTATACAGTTTATTTCATTCTAGTATCTTACTATTCTTCAATGCAATAAATAATATAATCAGTGGTAGAAGACATTTCTAAAAGTAAAAGTCTTGAATTGAAAATGAACAGTGTGATAAAATAATATACTGATTATTTTTCTATCCTTAACAATTCAATATAATGCCGTTTTAATGTTTTAGTTTGTTAAAGCACATTTTGTTACCCTTCAGTACTGTGTAGATTGTGTGTGGAATAGTAATATAGTACTGCATCAAATCACATAAACATACAATGCGCTTTTATATGAACAAAGAAACTATCAGTGTGAAATTAATGTATTGGAGTAAAAAGTAAAACAAATTCCCTTTAATTTGGTGTAAATTAAGTATAACATTGAAATACTACTGGAAGTCAAGTACAAGTAGTTATATATAATACTTGAACTTGGACTTTAGAAGAACACAATACTGATTATAAGTATTTCAAAATACACATGTAAATAACAACAACAAAAGTAATGAACTATTGTTCTGCAGTAAGTTTTAAGTCCCTGCAGGTTTATTTGCACAGAAGCAAAACCCCTCCCTAAGCTCAAACTGCAGACCTCCTCCAGGTCCTCACCTGGTAGCAGGAGGTGAAGCAGAGCCTCAGGGGGTCCGCCTGCTGCTGGGGGAGGGTCTGCAGCCAGGCTCGCATGACGGGGCTCCAGCCCAGCACCGAGGAGCTCATGAACACCATCCCGTTTCTGGACACTGTGGCCGGGGAGGCATTGTCGATGTTGTGAGGCTCAAAGACGATCTGCAGGAAAGATGCACATTTCACTTTAGATCTGCTCTGAGATTCAGGTATATTTAACACGGATTCAAAGGTTTACGTCTCAGCAGGATTTGGAAAAAACTTGCATTTATCACCTGTTACCTCGACTATTAGTAGTTAACTAGTTTCTAAATACAAGAGAGGGTAACATCACTCCATTTTCTGATGTTCACACTGGCTTCCTTTCTGTCAAATAATTGACTTGAAAATACTACCATTAGTTTATAAAGCACTAAATGGGTTAACCAGGGCTGCCAACATTTGATTTGAGTTCAGCTTGGAGTGAGATTTTTTTTTTGGTGAACCGAAAAAAGAAACGTTCATGTGTACAGTGTTACAAATGTATTGAACATGTACAAACTAGGGTTTCCCATTAATGTAGGGGGCGCTACAGTGGAATACGCACATACACAGTGTAACCGCGACTCTTACAATGAAGGCTCCAAAATCAGCTCACAGCATATAAAATGGCATATAGGTGTAAGCAGAGGTAAAGTGCTATTTTAAAAGTGGGGGGGGTGGTCCTCACCTCCTCTAGGGGGGTCCGGGGGCATGCTCCCACGGGAAAGCAAAAGGAATTTATGGATACATCTCTCAACACCCATATGAAACAGAACTGTACACAGATTTTCTTTTTCTTTATGGGTATTTTACAAATCACTCACCTTTTAAACTGCATTCTGGTTTTACTGTCATAGTATTTCATAACTGTTTTTCATTTATTCTCATAAATGGTGACCAAACCGTTTGAGACCCACTGAGATAACTAGAGTCTAAAGTGAACTATCTAAACAGAGTCCCTTATCTCACTGAGCTGTAGTTATCTCTCTCAGTCTGACAGGACAGAGCTCTCCCTCTCATTGTTCTAGAAACAGCTTTTAATATCCGTTAAGCTAACCAGATGCTAACAACAACAATGTAAATAGTGAGTTTGGTAGAAATATACTGTATAATAGTAAAGTTATTTAAGATGATGCCATATTTATTGAAGATTTTACATGATAAATATAAATATATAAATATTCAAAAGCATATTCTTCAAAACTCTCTGCTGTAGTATGACCACCAGGAGACTATTGATGTGTGTAGTGAGTTTGGTAGTAATAAGCTGTATAATAGTGATTGAATATTATTGTATTCTCTTTTTTCGGAGTTGCACTTTGCAGACGGTCCCTGAGCACTCGTTTCTTCTCCGCCTGCAGATAGAGACCAATGTAATGTGTCCAGCTCGGAGGACGGCGCGTATTGGCTTTTTTTGATCAAAATGTGACTGTAGTTCGTTGTCAACCCTACTACGGTACTTAGGAGACGTCAT